TACATGTCCCTGTGAGCAGATTTTATGAAACAGTATTCATCAACAACCATAAAAGGGTACAGACTACTATCAGCCAAATCCCCAAATTTGGATTAAAAAAATTTCCTTGGAATGCACAAGACAAATTAAAAGTGTAAATGTCACAGAAGAGAATGCAGTGTGATTATGTGGTGCAATCGAAAGATCAATATCTCCCAATGAAGGTTCAAGTACATACTGAAAAATATAAATGTACATTCTAGCCTATATTGTTGACACGCCCACATGGCAGAGCATGATATATACATTCCATAGGTCAATATCCTGAACCAGCAACATGACCACAACACAAAAATGCCATGCTCCAGTATAATATGTCAGTATTGGTATAGGTTATGTATGAGTGGGTTCTACACATGGACATAGCAATGCAAGCTGGCAGTGTAATGAACACAAAATAAATGCATGTTTTTTGATAATTTCCAAATTTACAGACACGTTTTTTTCAATATTATAGTTTTAACAACTGTTCCACAGGGGAAGTCAAATCACATGAAGAAATGGAATTCAATGATCCTTCTATCCTCCTTCTCTCTCTCTCTCTCTCTCTCTCTCTTGGTCTCTCTCTCAACATACAAGACAAGTTTAACATTCTCTATATCCCCTCCCAATTTCTAATATTATTAGCAGATACAGAGCATGACACTAAGTAGTCCTATAGCCTGGGACAAGTAAAATTGGATTTCAGACAACTGAATAGTAATTCACTTGCCTATTAAAATGTTATTGCAATGCCCTTATATGCACTCTTCCACTATATCATCCACAGCACAGAAATAATATGTAAAAAATCTAAATGCTGAATGACCTAGAATATAGTTGAATATTTGCTTCACATTTCAATCAATCTAAGCCAAATTATGGCTTTAGAAATTGTGTACCCTCAGAATACCAAAGTTCACTCCCTGTTTTAGGCTCCTCAGATCAAAACAGATAAATGAAAATTTATGACAAGCATGCAGAAAAAATAGATTGAAGCTTGTCTACGGAGGAATGTTTACAATTTCCACTTATAATGCTAATTGGTTTTTGCGAGGGATTTGTTCTGAGTTTGGGATGGTAAAAATCAATAGATTAATCAACAGGTGGCATGGATTAAGCCAGTATATTATTGGGTGTAAGCCAGTATATTATTGGGTGTTGATACAAAGCAATACAGTTTAACTTTGGATGTTCAGTAAAGTAGTTCATTCGTAATGGATCCACCACTAACCTGAGGGATGTAGGTTAGTGGTGCTGACAAGCACACAAATAACAATCATTGGTATTAGAAACACGATTTATGCTGAAGAATGTTACCCTTTCTTGTGAAAATTCCCTGAGTTTCTGGTAGTTGTGGTGTGTTGAATCTAGCAGTATTTTGTATGCAGAGTGTATTCTTTGTAACCATGATCAACAGTGTGATGTAGAGATAATAACAAATTGACACTCAGTTACCATCATCTTGATAGAGCAGCAGAATGTTGAACTTGTTTACAAGGAGTTCATTTAAAAAGCTGTACAGGGAAGTGTTTGCAGATGTTTTAAATGGCTGTAGTCAATTATGAATACAGAGGAGTCCATCTAGTTCAAATGCCAAGGTGTCTTACCTGTAAAATCTGTTTAAACTATGAAGTCAATGTGTAACCACGTGATATAACCTTAGACAGCTAGGGCCACATGTGCAGTGCCGCTGGGTTATCAAAAAGCACTTCAAATATCGACAACTCGGAAGCAATTGAAGTGTAACAAGCCGGAAACAAGTCGCGGTAACTCCAGGTACTTGTTACTACAGAAATAATGTGTTCCTGGTCTAGACAGTAACTAAATAGACAAAATCACATCATCCAAGTTGGGTGGATCACACAATAGGGGGAAGTGTGTGAACTATTTTATAAACTATTTGACAATGTTTATTTGTTTACAACTGGTGTATTCTGTGCAATATTACAGTCCACTGAGTCCTGTGATTCGAGCAACAATACAGTTCATTTGTTGGAATGTACACAAAACAAGCTAGAACTAATCATACAAAGGCTCTACAAGACATACTATATGGCAGTAATTTTTGAGAAAATTAATTTATTTTACCATAATGAATGTAAGATTCCCACCAATAATGTTGAGGCAAGTTGATTTTATACATGCAATTGATTACCCTTAAAAAAATATTATTTTCATTACTCAGCCAAGAATAATTAATGTTAAGATTTTTATCCCAATGTACATGAAACAAACATGGAGCCTTTATCCTTTGAAAAATTCCACAAAAGCAATTAACTAAAAATTTAGAAATCTGAAATCAACTATATTTTCACCTTACTTTTAAATCAAGAGTGAATGACAATTGTTATTGAAATAATACTTGCGCCAATGGGAAAAGAATAATGAAAATTGACCAATGAATACTGTCAATATATTAAATGTAAATCCAATACTGAGAGACAAACTCCATTAAATGACCATTGCTGAAAATTCCTCAGTGGAAATAAGTGAACTGAATTAACTTTTGTGTTCAGTAGTATGAATATAACATTGTGAGCAAGAATAAATAACAGACAATAGAGTGGTTATGCGTCCTATCCAGAATTAAATACAGAATAACAGTAGACATATAAGGTTCCATGGATGAGAACACAATGGGTGTAGATGCGAGGTACTGATATGTTTCAAAAATGTGTTGATTCTTAAAATTAATATGTACAGTGACATCATACTTTTGAAATTTTTGAATGATTAAATACTTTAAGAGATGTTCATTTTCAAATCAAGTACAAATATAAACGTTGTAGCAAACATATTATTGTGTACCAGCAATCAGAGTTGTGTTAATCACCAGCTTAAAAATGACAGACCTTATTGCTAGCTTATGTTTTTTAAAATACATTGTGCCAGCGACACAATATTCAAATTTTACTCTAGACTTTTCTTCTTTTCATGTGGTACAGTCAATAGTACATATTTTCATTTTCAACTATCCCATGTCCACCAGGACTAGTCAAACACACACTCAACCAAGGCTTTTCCTAAAGTCACATTAATTTTTGGTGTTCCATCCCAGGTATAATTTTAACTCAAACCCAACAATGATGAGTCCAGGGAAACATGACCATGTGACTACTACTACTGGTGATTGATCCAATAAAAATAATTTCAGGAAATGTCAGTA